ATTCAAGACCAGGTTGGACGGGGCTCTGAGCAGCCTGATCTAGTTAGTGGTGTCCCTGCTCCTGCAGGGGGGTTGGACTAGATGACCTCTAGGGGTCCCTTCCAACCCAAAACATTCTATGATTCTATGATTCCTGGTGCTTTTGCTTCCCCTTGCCTTTCACATGGGTTTCAGGCCCCAGCCTTGTCTAGGGCAGCTGCTTAGGGCAGTGGTTCTTCACTAGCGCTGGCTGTGGTGGGCCTGGGCCCTGCAGAAGCTTCTGGGTGCTCCAGCATCATGGTTTGTAAGGGAGAACCGAGCTTTTGGGGGAGCATTGGGCTTGAGGCAGCAGCAGGACTGGCCAGTGCTGTTGTCCGGCCGTGGCCATGCACCACTGCGGGCTCCTTAGCCAGGTGATGTGCTCTCCTCCTCCAGAGCCTGTATGGGTTGGCATCTCCAAGACCAGACTGTCCCCAGGAACCCTCTCTGGGCCTCCTCGGGGAGGACTTTGCGTCTGCCCAAGCCGGGGTGTGCTGTGCATGGTCAGGCATTACATCGGGGTGCCCGGGGGTTGAAGCATTGCATGCCGTCCTTTCCCTCGTTGCTCCTTTGCCGGGGTTCTTTGCGGCTGGCCTGGCAGGCGAGGGGGCTCTCGGTGAGGCGAGGGGCCTCTGCATCTCCTGGCCTTGCACTGTCTCTACCAGCCTGCTTGGCTGCTGGCAGACCAGGTCTTAAACCCTTCCCTCTTCAGAGTGAAGTTGTGCTGGGTGCTCGTCCCGTGGGGTGGGCTGCTCGCTTGGGTGGAGAGGGCAGGCACGTGGCTGTCTCACAGAAGAAAGCCTCTGGGCTTGCTTGGAGGTGATTCACTCCAGCAGGGAGCTTCTCATTTCTTGCCTCTGGTCTCCTCCCTTTACTTAATGAGGCAGCAGCCCAACAAGCTGACCCTCGCTCCTGCTCTTCCACCTTGGCACGGCCCTGGGGTCCAGCCCCCCCCCGGGGCTCCTGCCAGCCCCTCACAGGAGGCAATGCTGCTGAGCCGCTCCCTGAAGCCAGCCTGAGGCAGGCAAGAGACAGGACAGGAATCCTGAGCGAGAAATTAGTGCGAGTAATTATTAGTATTGGGTAATTATATCAGCGTCAGGATGAGGAGAAAGGTTAATAGGTTTATTTATTTATTTATTTATGGTAAATGTCTTTTCCCCGGGGTGGGAAGGCAGGCAAGGTGGGCAGGAAGGATCGTGCTTCCAAGGGGGGCTGCTCTGATTAAGCCACATCCTCTCCCCCTTCCCCTGCCGCCAGCTACCCTGCGGGTTCAGGGCGAGGGGGAAAGCAGTCCCTCCCACCGCCCCTAAGAGATCAGTTGGGAGGCTTCTTGTGCTTCCCGGGCGCTGCTCCACCACCTTATGGTCCAGGCAGCCTGTCCCATTCCCGCAGCTGGGATGAGCAGGTTCCCATCCGGCTAATCCTGCTGGAAAGGCCCTGGTGCTGGGTTCCCACCTCTGCCCACATGGCAGCGGGTGCTGTGGGCAGTTGGGTTCTCCTGGCATGGGGCGATGTTGGGTTCTGTCAGCTGGTCACCTCCCGGTGCTGGGGAGGAGCGGCAGGATGGGTTTGCCTACACAAGCTAACTCAAAAACCCCCTCGTGCCCTGCTTTTTGGCCAACCGGAAAACAATTTGATTGCCTGGTCTTCCAAATTTCATTTTCCTGAATCCCAAACCCACCTACAGAACATGCTTAGCGGGAGGAGAGGTGCCGGAGAGAAGGGTTCCTGCGTCTGCATGCTTGGGGTGGCCCCATGCCCCCCACGAGAGCACCCTGACTTGTGGTAAGCTGGGCTCCAGCCCCCTTTGATTACCAAGAGTATTTTTAGGTTCTTCCTGGAGCCTCAAATTAACTGGAAGTGCTTCACGTCTGTTGTTTTTTTTAATACATCTCTTTCTCTTTCCCAGCACTGCGCCGTGCAATAATGTAATGGGGAAATTACCCCGCTAGTTAAAAATTACTGCCAGCGCGACATCCAGCCATAGATCTATTTTAGAACCAGGGTAAAACTATATCGATTCTTCTGCGCCGCAACTGCGGCCCATAAAAGGGTTGGAAAGGTGCGTTTGTCATGTTGCTGTAGCAAGGAGGGGAGACAGTGCCTCGCCGCGGAGGGGGGATGCTCCCTGTTGCCCTCCTCTGGAGAGCTGGCTTGGACAGGACTCTGAAGGGGAGAAGCTGAGAGCCAGGAGGGGAGCGACCTGCAAGGGGATGCGGGGAGGCAGGGCTGGGTCCTGGGGGTGATGCTGGGTACCACCGGGCAAGGGGTACTGCAGGGCAGGGGGTGCCATGTGGCCCTGTACCGCAGGTGTCTGGGGCTTGACCTCATCTGATGTTTGGAATAGGAGCAAATGTGATCCTTGGACCTGGGCAGAAAGACACCCCCCTCCAAAAGGGCAGCAGAGGCTTTAGGACATCAGCTTTTGGCATCTCTGGGTTCCCCAGCACATGGTGGTACCCAGGGCAGGAGTGATGGGGAGCAGAGTCTCTGTAGGGGTCTGGAAAAGGATGCTGGGAAGGTGGATAAGTACCAGGACCAGTTTGGGTTATGGCAAAGGCTCTTCAGTCCTGCGGCAGGACGTACAGGGGCCTTTTGGCTGTGCCGTGGGCTCCACATCAGCTTTTGGCATCTCTGGGTTCCCCAGCACATGGTGGTACCCAGGGCAGGAGTGATGGGGAGCAGAGTCTCTGTAGGGGTCTGGAAAAGGATGCTGGGAAGGTGGATAAGTACCAGGACCAGTTTGGGTTATGGCAAAGGCTCTTCAGTCCTGCGGCAGGACGTACAGGGGCCTTTTGGCTGTGCCGTGGGCTCCCAAGTTAGCCTGGCCCTGCTAGCCTGGATGCCAGGTCCCCCAGGGAGAGGGCGGCCCCTTTGCTCACTGCCATGCAGGACTCATCGCTCTCTGGTTGCTCAGGGGTCTCTTTCTTAATTAAATACATTTGTTTTGTAAAACTGCCTAAAAATAATCCGGGGCTGGTGCATGCAGGAGGCTGGCGGTGAATCAAAGGCGCCGCTCTAATTAAACGGGCCCCGGTTTGTTTGTGAGCCGCATACATTTCCATGCTAATCAGCTGCACACCGGGATCCTGCTTTCCCGGCCCTGTATCCTCCTGATTGGGAACTATGCAAATGCCAGCGGCGATTTATTGCAGGAGGGGGACGAGGCGGCCGGGATGCTAGGGGGGCTGCTGTGGGGAGCACAGGGCTTGGGCATGGCTATGCTGGGCCGTGGGAGTGGGTGCAATGATCAGGGCGGGGTTGTGGGGTGCATTTTGGGGAGTGCTCCAGAGCAGTGGATTTGGCCCTGTGCAGTGGGGGCGTCCTGAGTCCTGCAGATGGGGGTGCTGGATGGGTTCCCTGCGTGTGGAGCTGATCCCGGGCAGTGTTAGCTCTGTCTTGCTGGGCATGCTGCTTCTCTGCCTGCCATTGGGTTTTTTGCAGAATGTGCTGCTGGCATGGCCCCTGTCCCATGCCATCCCATGGGAGCAGATCAGACCTACCAAGCCATTCCTCCTGCACTGTCTCCCCGAGGCTGCCCGTGCCAGGGGACAGCCCAAATCTGGGGGTATCGCAAGCAACAGCATTAGCAGGAAGCGTCTCTTTGCTCGTGGAGGTGGCAATCAGGTTATAGCAAGTAGTGCAGCTGAGTTAGCTCCTGCTCGGTGGGTGCCTCCAGCCCCGTGGTGCCTCGTGATGTGGTTATCACCGGTACAGCCAGAAACTGGTGTACTTAGGAAGAGCTTTAATGTGATTGCGAGCCATAAGGGGATTAAAGCCTTTGCCACGTTCCTGCTCAGGGAACAAAGGCGCTTTCTGAACCTCTGTTGACCCTCAGCTTCCTTGAGACCCTCTTGACTTCCCCGGTCATGAGCCCAAGTGTTTCCTCTGATGGATGGGGAGATGGGAGCCCTGCCTGCGTGTGCCGCAGCGTCCTGCCTGGCCGGGGCTTGGTGTGGTACGGCATGCGAGCCGCTTTCGGTACTGCTGTAGCAAGATGGGGTTTGCTGCTTTGCTGCAAGCTGTACTCGGTTTGCTGCTTTGCTGCTTCCCCTGTACTCGGTGCTGGTGAGGCCGCACCTTGGATACTGTGTTCAGTTTTGGGCCCCTCACTACAAGAAAGATGTTGCATTGCTGGAACATGTCCAGAGGAGAGCAACAAAGCTGGGGAGGGGTCTGGAACACAAGTCATACGAGGAGCGGCTGAAGGAACTGGTGGTGTTTAGTCTGGAGAAGTGGAGGCTGAGGGGAGACCTGATCGCCCTCTACAGCTACCTGAAAGGAGGCTGGAGTGAGGTGGGGGTCGGCCTCTTCTCCCTGGTAACAGATGACAGGACGAGGGGGAATGGTTTGAAGCTGTGCCAGGGCAGGTTTAGGCTAGACGTTAGGAAAAACTTCTTCACCGAAAGGGTTGTCAGGCTCTGGAATGGGCTGCCCAGGGAGGTAGTAGAGTCCTCCTCCCTGGAGGTATTTAAAAGAAGGATAGATGAGGTGCTTAGGGACATGGTTTAGTGGTGGGATGTCAGGGTTAGGTTAAAGGTTGGACTTGATGATCTTAAAGGTCTTTTCCAACCGAAGTGATTCTATGATTCTATTCTATGATTCTGGGGGCTTGTCTGTGCCATGCTGTAAGTTAGGGGGTCTTTGGGGCTGAGCAGCAGTGGGGGAAGCAGGGCAGCACATAGTTGGGTACAACGCGAGAACCATGGATGTGGCTTCTCTCCTTGGAGAGCGGTGAACGCCATCAGCATAAACATGGAACAAATGCAGAAAAGGGAAGAAAACCGTTGCAGTTTGGTCTTCTGGAAAGGGTTGGGATGTTTGCAGAGTGGCTGCTGCTTTGCAGTGCTGTGGCATGACCACACTGGTGTGGGACAGAGGGGTGGCATCCCTAACAGGGCGTGTTCCCCATCCCACTCCCTGAGCAGGGGCTGAGGTGTGTGTGGAACTGTGCTCACCCCGCGTTGCTTTCCCTGCAGATCCTGGTGGACTTGACAGCTGAGAGGAAGCACCAAGCACTGCAGTACGAGAACGTTGTGGCCCATGAGGGCAGCTCCATCCTGCGAGACCTGGTGCTGAGCCCTGACCGCCAGCACATCTATGCCATGACTGAGAAGCAGGTAAGGGGAGGGGATGGCAGCCCCTCTGCTCTCCTGACTTGGCAGCCCACATTGCAGCCCCAGCCTGCAGGCAGTGCGCTGGGAAGCCTTTTAGGAAGCTCCCCAATGGGGTCTGGCCTTTGCTTCCTGGGGTCTGGGCTGCCTGGGGACTCCTGTCCCAGGGCACGGAAGCATCTCCTCCCTGCTCCTCTGCAAAAACACTGCCCTGAGCACTGACGCTGTGGCCCTGCTGCTCCTCTCCTCGCTGGGGCCATGCCCCAGGCATTAACTGTTAGCAGCAGCTGCTTGAAATCCCAATGGTCCCCAGGGACTGAGGGCTGCCCAACCCTTCTGTGCTGTGGGGGGCTGGCCATAAACCTCCCTCCTCTGGCCATCCTCTCCCGAACAGGATTTTTGCAGGTCAGCAGAATCTCCTTGTTCTGAATGGCTTTTTTCCCTCTGGGGTTGCTGCTTTTGCACTGTCAGGCAGAGGGGATGGTGTGCCCCAGACCCCAGCATTCACACCTTGCTTCCCTCCCTCTGCTCCTGCTGAGCCAGCCGGAGATACAGACACAATCCAGATCTGGCACTGCCATCCTGGCAGCATGGTTGGGACTCATGATAGGAAGTTTTGGTTGGCTTTGCAAGTGTTTGTGTGATCCCCAACCTGCCGGAGAGCTTGCTGGTGCGAGTTCATCCATGCATGGGCTGCACCGGAGCAGCTGAAGCAGGTTTGTGCCATGGTGGTGGCACTTTTTGGATCTGGCATCTGTGGGGAGGTGCCCCGTGCCTGGTGGGGTGACGCAGGGCAGCCGGCTGTGCTGGGATGTAGTGTGCCTGTGTCTCACAGCATCTCCACCACTCTGCCTGGGAGAGGTGTGCGCGGGTGGGACCGTGGCTGAGTTTGGCATGTAACAGGTCTCCTGGCCGCCAGCCCGGGGGCTTGGGAGGGGGAAGGATGCTGGAGTAAGGCCGTGAGTTTGTCTAGACAGCCCCACGGGGAAAGCAGAGCCCTTTCCCTCCTCCTCCCAGCGCCTGTCTCTGGTTTCTACTCTGCTGCAGGAAACCTGCGGCTTTCTAGGAGGGGCAGAAACAGTGTTTGGGCTCGTCCATGCAGCTGTTGTGGGGTTTTTTCTGTCCCTGGCTGTGTTTCTGTCCTTGGCCTGGCTCAGCTAAGCCTCCCCTCTGCGGGGGAGATGTTGGAGACATGGATGCGGGAGGGGGGCTTATGCTGAGCTGGACTGGGGATCTCCTCCAAGGGCCACTGTGGATGCTGGGAGTTGGCACATGCCTGGGGGGGGACCTGCTGCCGACCCCCTCGCCACCAGCCACCTGCAGTGATGTCAGGGACAAACAAATGGGAACGCTACAGGTATCCTCATCGGAACGCAAACCAGCAGGTACTGGTTGGCCAGCCTTATCCCAGCCCTGCAGGCATCACGCTCAGCCCATCCCCTGCTGGGCTGGGAGGAGAAGGGGCACCCTGGATTTAGCTGTCAGTAGAGAAGTCTGCAAATTTTAATTAACAAGTGAGTCCTGCCCTGTGGGAGCAGTGGGGAAACTGAGGCACAGACACAGCAGTCACAGGCAGCTGCCTGGCGCTGCTGGCTCCTCGCGGTGGGAGAGCAGGCAGCTCCCTGCTTCCTGCACCCCCTCCCCGTCCCCCGCTTCTCCTCCCCTCTCCTTAATAAAACCTGCTCTCTTCCCTACTACAGCTCGGTGTTATCAGAGTGCTGGTGGAAAGTAATTAAGTGAACAGTTGTAACAGAGCTCGAAGGGCTTGGCGAACGAGGGGATTTTAATCAAATCTGGAGGAGCAATTAATAAAGGACCGGTAACCCTTTCAGAGCAGGGCTGCGGCAGCCGCGGGGTGCCTGGCCGGCGCTGGGAGCTGGTGTGGGGCTGAGCTGGCACAGCCCGCTCCACAACCCTGCAAAGATGCAACCACGGAAGGAGCTTGGTTGGGGTGAAAGCCACCCCGGGGTGGAGGTGTTGCCTGCAAACGTCCTGCCTGGGCCTGGGAGAGGAGTGGGTGATGGCAGGGGGCTCAGCCTGCTCACTGCTGCTGCCTCCTCTCTAACGGGCCAGGGTGTCTCTGTGCTGGGTCCATCTCTGTGGGGTCTAGGTGTGGGGACAGCGGGGAAACAGGCAGCCCGTCCTCCTTCACTCCCTGCCTGTTCACCATAGGTGACGCGGGTGCCGGTGGAGAGCTGCGAGCAGTATGAGAGCTGTGAGCTGTGCCTGGGCTCCCGGGACCCCCACTGCGGCTGGTGCGTCCTCCACAACGTGTAAGTACCGCAGGATCGTCCCTGGGGCCACGCCAGCCAACCACGGTTGGCAAACCATGTCCATCCCCACCACCCCACCAGGAGACCCCTCCTGGACTTTGGCCCTGGAGCTGGGGTGGGGTCCAAGGGGTCCATCAACCTTTCCTACGGCACCTGGGCAGCACTTGCAAGCACCATGTGTGGTGCAGCCGCTGGCAGGGCCCGCTGATCCTGCCCACGGGCTCCCAGGTTTGGCGTCTTTGTGCTAATAAGAAAAGCTGAAGATAAAAGACCCCAGAAGTCCCCAGTGCTGGCACAGGGGGAAAGCAGAGCTCCCATTCAGGCACCCAACGTCCCTAGCTGGGCATCACCTCCGTGCCAAAGCGTCTGTCTGCTGTGGCGTCAGCCCAGAGCAGTGCAGGATCCTAGGGAATTCTCCTCCTCACTGGCGTGGTTTCATCCCCCTCCAGATGCTCTCGCAAGGACCGGTGTGAGCGGGCGGACGAGCCCCAGCGCTTCGCCTCTGACCTGCGGCAGTGTGTCCAGCTCACCGTCCAGCCAAAGAACATCTCTGTCACCATGTCAGAGGTCCCGGTAAGCCACCTCTGCTGCCCGCGGGGCCCTCCAGCCACCTCCTGACCCTCTGGAGGCGAGGGCTGGGGAGGTAGCAATTAAAAATAAGTAATGAGTACACGACAAATAGGGAGAAAGGGGAAGAGAGGTCCAAGACAAATAAAACATAGCAGTGAGGGCTGGCCTGTTGATGGAGGTAATAAACCAGCTGATGATTATTCAGAAAAGACATAACAAAGCAATAAATATTTCTCCATAATACAAACACCATCATCGGAGATGCCATTCGTAGGCCAGCGATCTATCTAGCTCAATAGCCTGTCTCTGACCCTGGCCTGCAGTAGATATTTTGGGATGAGACTTTGATGCACAACTTGCTGCTCTCCCTGTGCAGACAGAAAGGATGATGGACTTCCCTGAAGTATTTTCCAGGCCATTAGCACCGTGAAGAGAATACAGAACAGCATATACTAGCAATAAAGTTTTGAAAACTGCCAGGTCTGGATATCTGGCACTAAGGAGTCCTAAAAGAGTTGGCTGAGGGGTTCCATGGGCTGCGGATGTTTGTAGTAATATGACTTTGTAATAAGTAAGTGAATGTTGAGAAAAGCCCTGTTGAAAACAGAAAAGGTGCTTGTTTTTTTTGCCTAGATGCAGAAAGGACCATATGGTTGGAGACCGCTTACTTTGACATCAAGTTTAGAAAAACTAAAGGAAAAAAACTGGTTCAGGGTACAACTGAAAAAGAATTAAGGATAGGAATGTAGTTAGTGCCAGTCAACGCAGTTTTATGTCAAACAAACCACATTTTGTTCTTTGGTGAAATTATGACTTGAGTTAGAAGAGGGACTGTGGGGATGTGATGTCTTCAGGCTTCTACAAGGCATTTGACTTGGTACAACACAAGCTGCTGATTAAAAATTAGCATTATACAATATTGATAAAGCACATGTTAAGTGGATTAAGAACTGGCTCTGTGACAGATCTCAAAAAGTCCTCTTCAGAGGGGAATTGTCACTGGATGGAAACGGTTTGGAAAGTGCTTCTGCAGGGGCTAGTGTTCATTGGTAATGTGGAATTAAACACATGGAGGCTGCGGATGTGACCTGTGGAGGATGCTGGGACCTGCGGAGGATGCTAGGACTGGGGGGTGGTATGGGGTGAGATTTCCTTCAGAGCGATTGGGTCTGAGTGGGGCTGGTTTAGCAGAAAAAGTGGGGTTTGATGTTGCCAAGTCTAAAGTTAGACATGGAGGGAAAAGGTGTCCTGGAAAGCGGTGCCAGGGCTGAGCCCTTGCTGTAGGGCTCTCAATGCCCCTCGGGCGAAGCCAGGAGCTGGGCAGTGTTTTCACCTCTCGGGTGGTTATCTCCCTGACCGATGGCGTGGTGCTGTGCGGAGGTCCAGTGTGGTCAACATGGGGATGCTGCACTTGGCCTGGAGTCCAGCTTTGAAAGGGGGAGGCTGAAAACCTCCTGTAAACATCATGTAAATGAGTTGAAGGCTGGAGAAAATGCCTTGCAGTGAGAGACTTCCAGAGCTCAATCTGCTTAGCTTATCAAAAAGAAGATTAAGAGGTGACTTGATTACAGAGTATAAGTGCCTTTACAAGGAGCAAATATCAGGGACTAAAGGGCTTTTTAATCTATCAAGGAAAGGCATAACAAGAATTAATGGCTGGAAGCTGCAAAAAATTCAAATTAGAAATAAGGCAAGCGTTTTGTAAAGTGAGAACTGCTGACCCCAGGAATGACTTTGCGAGGGAAGAGGTGGATTCCTCCCCTCCTCGGCTCTGCCAGAGCGGGTGCCTTTCCGTGAAACGCTCTTTAGCCTGATGCTGTGCTTGGTCTCCGTAGAGGTGAGGCGTAATGGCTTGTGGTGCGGCGAGGGCAGAGGACAGGAGGCTGTGAGTCATTCTGTCTTTTAACCCATTTACATCCTCTCTCCTTGACTGAGCGGGGAGGTCTGTGGATGGGGCTCACTTGCAAAAGCCTGGAGCAGGTCTCCCCACCACATGTAGGTGGTGGAGGGAGGGATTGCACCCCTGGTCTTTTCTGTTGGTTGGACTTACACATAGCAGACACAGAGGAGTCTTTTTTGCTAGTTTTCTGTGTTGATGCTCTTGCCTCTTCTTCCCAGCTGGTCCTGCAGGCTTGGAATGTCCCAGACCTCTCGGCAGGAGTCAACTGCTCCTTTGAAGACTTCACCGAGTCTGAGAGCCGCATTGAAGATGGGAAGATCTACTGCAGCTCTCCCTCTGCCAAGGACGTCATCCCCATCACCAGGGGCCGAGGTGAGCTTGTGCCCTGGGGTGGGAAGAAAGCCTGAGACAAACCTTTTTCCCCCTTGCTGTCCCACAGCCAGATGTGGAGGAGGACAGTCCTCTCGTGACAGCGATCCCTGGCCCCCAAGCAGGACCTGAGTTGGGTTCTCAGGGTGTGGGAGGAGAATGATGTTGCTGCTTATGGGGGACTGGTCCTTGCTGTCCTCCAAGCCATGGGCACAGCTACTTGCTGACACTGTAGTTAGTGGCCTGTGCACCTTTCCTGGGCTCCCTGGCCTTGTTCCCACCTATGGACCATTCCTGGGCAGATGTGCTGTAGATGGCCATGGGCTTTAGGACATTCTGCTGACCCCAGAACTGTTAAGCTCCCCTTCAGTACCACCAGTACAACCCAAGGCACCTGCCTCCATGCCAGCAGGTTGGAGTTAGCTGTGGGGGCTTAGAGCTGTACTGGGGCTCTGCTGACCTGTTTGGTGGCTGAGTGTGGGTGAATGAACAGTCTCTTTTGATTGCCAGATTTGGGGGATTTTGTTAGTTATCTGAGCTGAGTGGTGATGCCCAGCTCCCTCCTTGGGCTGAATGCTGGGCCATGCACTGTCTCCTTTCTGATGCCTTTTTCTGCCTGGGTCTCTCCCAGGGGACAAGCGAGTGGTGAAGCTCTACCTGAAATCTAAGGAGACGGGGAAGAAGTTTGCCTCTGTGGACTTTGTTTTCTACAACTGCAGCGTCCATCAGTCGTAAGTGGCCTGGGCTTTGTGAGAGTGCTCTGGGAACAGACTGGGGGAGCAATGTGAGACTGGGAGAGAGGGACCTCGACTTTGTGGGTGCTGATGTTGCAAGAGGAAAGGGCAGCTGAGTATAGTGGTGTTTGTAGTGAGAAACCTCCTCCTTTTGCCCTTGTAAACTGGGATGATGACCAGAGCACCCGCAGTTGGTTTGAGCATGTGGGAACATGTAGCATCAGGGCAGAACCTCACTTAAAAACAGGGCTTTGGGTTTGGCAAAGCTTTGGAAGAAAAAGCGAGTTTACTGCATTGCAGACTGTAGCAATCCATGTGACCGAAAATGCCAAGCATCTTGTTATTCCTGGAAACAGTTAATAGGAGTGACTTGGAGATGCAAAAGGAGAAGCCTGTGTTTTCCTGCGGGTACCTGCTTCCCAGGCTTGCTGGAGAGCAAGCTGGAAAGTTACAGCAACATGGGGTGGAACATGCTGCATGTCCTGAGGTGTTTACCCAAGAATTTCCTAACTGGAAGTAATTGTGAATTTGCTTTTTTTGTCAGACTGCCTTGAAATCTACTCCATATAGGGGTTTTTAGGCAGTTTGAGATATGCATCTGATAAAATAGAGGAGGTGTGGGTTATTGATGTGTTGTCCAAGCAGGGTGTCTGAAGCCTCTAACAGCGAGCTCCTGATGAGGAGCTGTGGACAGTGAGCTTGAGTGGTGGGGAGATGGCTCTGCTGTGGAAACGTCGGAGAAGTTGCTGGGGTGTGTTTGGGCAAAGAATTTGGAGCTCAAGAATGCGAGCCATTTCATTACCCTGACAGAAACTTCCCATGGATGGTGGCGCTCCGGTTGATCAGTAATTATAGATAAGCAAATGCAGAGCGATTTCTTTTGGACGGCTGTTTGCAAAGTGTCTAGGCTGGCTCGGGGGGCTCTGCTGTAAATGGCTCCTCCAAAGCCAGTTCGGCAAACGAGCTGGGTTTTCCTCTTTGATCAGGGAAAAGCGGGTGAGATGCAGGCACCCCGGCTGGGTACCTGCAGTGAGCTCCGAGGGGGGTGCGAGGGAGAGCCCCCGCAAACCCAGTGCATCGCAGGGATTTCTGCCCTGCCCGCTCTTTGCACAGGGAGCAGGTCTTAGCTCCTGGGAGCGCTGTGCCGGCGAGGGAGGAGAGAGTTTGCAAACTTGACTTTCTTCCTCACCTTGACTCCCGAGATGAGCTTTGTCTCCCTTCACGTCGTATGGTTTCAATAACATTAGCTCAGCTTTGGCTCGGGCTGGCTGCATGTCATTATTTTGCAAATCAAAAAGCAGATGTGACTTTTATTTTTCTAAATGAAAGAAAGAAGACTTTTAAGTACAAATGGCATCAGATTCGGTCCAATCGGGGCTCCAGCATTTTGGTCCAGTGGGAAGAGGTGGTGAGGGAATTGGCATTTTATTTTATGTGCCTGACACAGGAGGGGAAGAAAAAAAACCACCCCGCCAAACAAACCTACAACAAAGAGCCCTGACTGATTTATTACTGCGTTGATGTTTAATTTTGGATGCATTATTTAAAAAGGCTAATTATGGATGCATTAATATTTATGGGCCCCGGTTGGAGCTGATAGAAAAGTCCATGTTCTAGGCTGGTGAACATTATTATTATTTTCTTTACGTCAAGAATTTTAGGGTTTGGAGGCAGTTTTAACTATGTGACCTGCAGTCAAGTCATAGCCAAAGAGCATGACAATACCTAGGATGATGCAATACTTTTAAATACCATTTGCAGACAGGCGTCTTTAATGGATCTCTTCGGAGTTAATAGCCTTTCAGATCCAGGTTTCATATTTTGTGGAGGAAAATCTATACGTCAGCCTGATAAATTCTGTATTAGGAAGAATATGCTTTTCCACGAGGCTAATGTTTTTCCTGTGGAGATCTCTGATCATCATGCATTATGTTTTCTTTTTATATTTGGGCGGCTTTGCTTAGGTTGGGAGCCAGAGCCCTGCATATTGAATCATTTCTTAGCTGAGGACGAAATGTTTAGGTGGGATTTTTCAGATGGCTATGGAGAGGCTGGCGGATTATAAGGCAGCTCTTTGCTCGTGTAAGCTGGGGTAGCTCCAGGGAAGCCAACACAACTCCACTGTGTACAGAGGGGAGGGTCTGACCCTTCTTATTTTCAGCAGATGCCTGGAAAGGCATCAGCAAATCATGCTGCTTAAAGGCCTTTTGCCGGCTGTGGGGCTGATCCTGCTGCTGTGCGAGCATCCCATCTCTATTGTTTCTCACCACCCTCCAAAACTCTTCTTCCCGGGTGTTTTCAAGGACTGCTGGAACCAGCCTGGTCCAGGGAGGGGTTGCAAAAGGGAAGATATGTCTAATCCCTTCTCTTACAGGGAAGGAGGGGTAGAGAGGAGGTTGTGCTGCCCGTGTATTTGGCTTGTGACGGTCAAGGCTGAGGGGATGCCTTTGAGGTGGAGCCCTGTTGCTGTCCTGTCTGTTATTGCAGGGCTTTATAGCGTCACCTGGTGTGACAGGATTGTCCCTATCACAGCAGACTGGCATTGCTGCCTCCTGGGGTGCTTCTCCATCCAGGGCCCTGGGACCCCTGGTCTGTGACTCGCACCCTCTCTGGGGCTCCATTCTTTGCTCCGGCAGGGTCACCTGGCAAGCTTCTGGGGGTCCCAGCTTGGTGTACTGTACCCCGGCAGCCTCAGGGCTCCTGTAGGGCTCTGGCAGGCGTTTCCAGTCGGTGGCATCTTTTGGGCATCTTGCTTGTGAAGGTTTGTGTATCAGGCGGGGGACGTTTCTGGCTGAGCTGCGAGAGATACATTGAGCGGGGGAGTGGAAACCTGGAGGTCGATGCAGAAAAATGGGTCACTTGCAAAGGGAAACATGGGTGGCTGAGGGCTGCTGCCAGCCCACGGAGTGGGGGAACAGGGCTGCCCATGCAGGCTCAGCTCCTGGCCACAGGCTGTGATTCTTGCGGTGAAGGACAGGATGAAAAACCCCATGGCAGGGGCTGGGGTGGTTCCCTTGGGGGTTTCCTATGGGGCACCGATCAAGCGCAGGCATTTAAAGACCGCTCGGCGCCTTTGATCGTCTAATGAATCAGCCCGTGTCCAGCGCGTGCGCGGGCAGATGTCGAGGTCGTCTTTGTCAGCGTTAAACTCCCTCTTCAAAGCATTCATGGGGAAATGAGTCCCCTTTCAAGATAAAGACGTAACACCAGGCTCCCTGCCTGCCTCCGGCAGAGTCTGCGTTTGCTGGCAAGGTGGGCGAGTGGGAAATCCTCCCGGAAAGCCAGCAAGCAATTCCAGGGAATACGAAGATCTATTTCTTCCCCCTATATTTGTGCTTGCTCTCTGGGTTTCTCCTCTGGAAAGTGGTCCGTAATTCCTGTTGTGGTTTGGCTTTTTGGAGAGGGGGAAGATCACAGATCGGCAGGTCTGATGCTGAGTGGGGATCTGAGCAGCCTGGAAACCTGTGGTGGTGCATGCCCATGCTGTCTCCTATCTGGGAGGTGGTCATGATGGTACCAGCCTCGTGGTTGTGCCTGGCTGTAGTGATGGCTGTGACACCCGGGTCCCATCAGTGGCGGGGTGTTGAATTTCTGAGGCTGGAGCAAGGGGCACACTTGCCAAGCAGCTCTAGCTCCTCCTGGCCAGAGAGATGTGGCTCTGCCATCGCCCTGTCCCACAGGTCAGGCTTTCTCTGTAAGCCTCCCATCAAGTAAATGGGGCTTTAATGCATAGCCCCAGGGGCTGGGAGCAGGGCTGGGCTGCTCTGGCGGCTGAGGCACCTGGTAGCACCCGTGGGCCGATGCCAGCCCTCATGCCACTGGGCTTCTCGCTGCAGCCCTTCTGGCTGGCCATGTCCTGGGCTGCCCGCACACAGCATGGCTGCTTCTCCACTGGCCCAGCACTGCTTGGTTCCAGATGCTTACAGATGCTTTCTTTTCGAAGACGGACAGATGGCTGCAAGCAGCAGAGTGAGCGTATCTGAGTTAGCACGGCTGAGCTGCGAGGCAGTAACAGATCCCTGTGTACTCCTGGGCTGGGGCAGGTGGAAAATCCTGTAGGATAGCCCCAGAGACCACTCAGGATAACCTGGTTTATGTCACATTTGTTGTGAAGGAGGAGGGTTGGTGCAGCCTGGTGTTGTGTTTCAGCGAAGGGAGGCGGCTGAAGGTGTTTCAAATAAAGTGCATGTTTCTGGCCATCTTAAAAATCAGGGCCTGATTCTGCATCCTCCAGCCAGCATGATGGTGGATGCCCTGGACTACCCTGCAGCGGGTCTGCGTGCCCAACCCCTACCCTGAGAGTAAGGCCCTTGGCAAAACCCAGTAGGGATGGGAAAGCATCGTGCTGGCAGGAAAGGAAGGGCAGAGATGGACTGAGATGGGCAGGGATGGAGGGAGGCGAGAGCTGATCTTCCACCCTGTGGCTCTCCCGGCTTTGGGTCTGGGCACCAGTCAGGGCTGCCCATAGGTCTGTGTAGAGTTTTGGGGGGCACTGATCGTCTGTTCCTGCTGCTCTTCAGGATTTCTGCCCCTCCCTGGGGCAGAGAGATTGATATAAAGCCCAAAGCACTGCCATTCAGCCCCTCACCCCTGACAGCTGCTGCTCCAGATGCAGGCTACGCCGGAGCTGAATATTCGCTAAGGATGCATCCTGCTTGCCAAGAGGAGGTCTGAGGAAGCAGTTGGGGGGCTCGCTGTGCTGTGCGTGCGCAGATGCTGTTGCCATCAGCACCGTGTTTATAATTTCCCTTCTCAGTGGACCTTCCCTGCTCTGCTCTTGGTGCTGTTGAACTTGCCCTTGTCCCTCCTCCCTGCCCTTTGCTCCATGTCCCTCCTCCAGGACCGCGCTGCTCCATGGAAATAGCCTCAGTATGTCTGCACATGTGCGATGCTTGCATCCCCTGTCCCTCTCGTGTTTGCTTCTCAGACTTATCTCACCCTGTGGATGCTGGTTTTGTTTTCTGCCTTCCCTGCTCAGTGCTCTGAGGAGCTCTGGACTCCTTTTGGGGTGGAGATCAGAGAAAGGAGTGAGCTCGTCCCCCGTGCACGGCGTGCCTGGGGCTGGGAACGCAGGAAGGAGAGTGAGCAAGGAACCCGGATCTGGTGTCGCTGGCTTCCCATGCGTCCCATGAGCTGTGGCATTCCTTTGATCCGGTGTGGAGACAGCTGCGACCTCGCCGTGGCGGCCGGAGGTGCCCGTGCGCCCCACGAGGAGCCGGTCCCTGAAGCCCTGGGCTCATCCTGCAGTGGTGCTTGTGGTCCTGCACCCACCCCAGAGCTGTGCCCAGCACCGAGCTGCCCCTCCGCTGTCCTGCCACCCTCTCTGCACCGTTGCTGTTCTGCAGCTGTCAGGTGTTTCCCCAGCGTGGCCTCAGCAAGTTTAGGACTGGTTTGGAAAGTGGAGGGGAGCTGTGTCGGGGGCAAGCGTGGAGGTTGTGGGGAGGCTCTGGCTTTGCCCCTGGGTTACTTGGAGGTGGGCAGAGCTGCCCTGCTGCCTCTGGGGCTGCCTGCTCTTTCTGGAGGAGGTTGCAGGCAGGCAGCGAGCCTGGACTGGTTTTGAGATGGGGCACTTTTTGCACAGAGTGATCCTGAAATGCGGCTCTGAGGTTGGTGCCACTCCCCTTGCACAAGGACGTTGGGAGGGAAGGGGGCACTGCCGGCAGGTCTGACCCCCTTCCCCCTGCCCAGCCTGGCCTTCTCTGCCTGGCCCCGGCAGGGCTTAGGGGGAGGCAGATGGGGAGTAAGCTGCGGGTCCGTGTCTGCACTGCACCCCCAGCCTCGGTTTTCTGCCTGGCGGGGCTTCTCGTGCTCCCGGCACGCTTCGGGGAGGGGGGGGACACTTCAACACATGAAGGAGAGCCTCCCTCTAATTATCAGGAGTGATGAAAGCCTCTTAGGCAAGAAGTGATGAGGGAAGAGTGCCTGACCGTGGGAAGGAGAGAGACGGCACAGATGGCATCATGCTGCCGAGCAACCTGCTCCTGCGCCAGGAACAGACAGCAGCGACACACGGACACGCGGGAATATGGCCCCGGCCACGCCGCCCAGCCTGACCTGCAGCTGGGAGCCCTGCCTCAGCTCCTGCCCCGGGTTTTGGGCAGCCTTGCAGGGGGCTGGGGTGGTCAAATGGACATGCCGAGGCCGGCAGGACCGAGGCAGGCTGGAAATGGGGTTTCACTCTGTTACCAGCACCCAGGCGCTGACTTGCTTGCCACTTTACAGAGTCTTTGGCCAGCCGGGGGGTGCAGACCCTGTTGGCTCTAAATGCAGCAGAGACGCTGTGGAGAGATGTGTGGTGGTGAGTGCTCTTACGGTGGTGTTTGATGTCCTTATGGCAGATGGAGAACCTCGGCAGAAGGGAGAGTGTGAAAACCATCTCCGGGGATGGGGCTTTAGAAGTGGCTCGGTTTAGTTAGAAGCAGCCGGGAGGGCTGAGGCAGGAGGCGGGGAACCATGCATCTCAGGGTGTACATGGAGGATAACTGGAGATACTTTAGGTCCCTTTGGCAAGTGGAGACCAGCTGGGACCTGCAGTAGTTAAATAGCAAAGGACACCCTCAGGTGAGGAGGGTTCTGAAATAGCCAAGGTTTGGCTTTGACCCTGAAGAGCTGCAGAGCGGAGCTGCAGCTCTGGGGGCTGGGGTGCCCAGGGTGGGGATATACTGGGTGCTTCACCCAGCTGCTTTGAGGTGCCTTGCAAGGTGGTGGAGAGGGGACTGGGGTCTCTCTTTTCAGGGAGACCTTGAAAGACCTGGTGGCTGGAAAATCTCTCCTTTGTGGAGGGCCCGTTTCATGGGAGGGTTAGTGGTTTTGCCCCAGCTCGTGGCTTGCAACTGTTTGGACCATGCTTCTCGCTTAAATGACCTCTCTGTGATTGCTCTACTTCCATAAGGATTAACCCCTGCTTTCCCTGCTCCGCCACCTCTGCGTCTCGGATTTGCCTGCCCATGGAAGGGCAGGAACAGGGAGGGCAGGAGCGGTCCTTTTGCTTTGTTTGTGTCCCCTGCTCCCCCCACCCTCTGCACCTCCCTCCTTCAAAGCAACCAGAGATAGGAGGCTACGGCTCTGCTTTTAAGTTGAATCTCTGCAGCTGAAATAAAATTGCATATATTTGCATAAGGAGCATCTCAATTAGCATATTTGTGGGTAAAGCTAAAAGGGCTGTTCATTTGGAAGTGAAAATGTGAGCGAAACATGGAAATGACTTCCAGCCCCCTTTGCAAGCAGCTTAATTAAATATTTCCTTAGAGTGTGCGCATGGATTTGGGAAGCTCTTGCTGTATATGTAATGGTGTGTGAAGCCCCGGGGCGGGCAGGGAGCGGTGGCCCTGCGAAGCCCTAGGAGCGCCTTTGCACCCTGTGCTGCCTGCTGCCGTGCCTCCCTCCTGCGCCATCCCCACACCTCCAAAGTGACAAGTCTGCTGGAGCGCGAGGGATTCGGCGTGCCGGGCCCTGTCACCCAAGGATCCCTCTCTTCACGAAGGTTTTCTTTCTGCCACCTTGCGCGGCGATGCTGAGTTTTCCCCATCCTTTCCCAGGGGGTAGAGGCAGAGAGGTAGCATGTGATTTAGGAGCGGGATCAGGCTGGGCAGGGCTGCCTGCCTCCTGCCAGAGCTGTGTTCAGGAGAAGATCCTGCCTTTGTTTAAATTTAATTGCTTTGGGCCTGATCCTGTTTGTGCTCGGATCAGTGAGAGCAGGTATGAGCCTTCTAGGGAGAAAAATGGTGCTGCTGTGCTGCTTTTTTTTTTGTTTTGTTTTGTTTTTTAAACCAGGCTGATTCTTTTTCTTGCCTTCGAGCTTATGCTTCAGCAGCTCTCCCGTCTCCTCCTCGGGAGGGCACCTTGGACTGCACGGGACATGCCTGGTGCAGACCTGCCCCGGGAAGGCTGGCCGCATTAATGCGGGACCTCACTGCTGCCCAGGACGGTGTGGCAGGGAGCACTCGGCTCCTTCCACACCCAGAGGGTGAGGGTGCCGAAAGCTGCCCTGTGGCCGGGAGCTCCGTGGGATCCCCTGTGCTTGCAGACAGGGATGCCTCATGGTGCTTGGAAGGGTGTGCTTTTGGGGGGGTGGTGGTGTTAGCAAGGGGACAGGCTGTTGGGGTGCTGCTTGTGTGGATGGTTGCACAAGGAGGGGACTCTTTATGTCCCCTCCTGCGTGGAGAAGAGGCACCAGGGCTCTTTCCTTTGGGAAGGAGGGGTGCAGAGCAGAGCATGGGGCTCCTGGCATCCTCGGGTGCCCCCACCATCCCCAGACACCCGAGTGCATTCCTTGGGAGAGGCGGGCAGGCGGATCCCACCGCACAAAGAGCCTGGAGAGGAGGCTGGGGAGAGACGAGCGACGGAAACGTGGTGGGCTGGAGGGAGGGGGTGGAAGCGCACACGCACGCACGCGCGGCCAGGGAGGGCTGGGGCCGAGGGAGGGGGTCACACACAACCTATTGTGAGCGGCTGAAAGGCACTACAGTCCCGAAATGTTAATCTGACCCAACCTTTTGCCGGTTATAATTTTCCTCTCAATGAGCGTGCATTAATCTGGCCCTTTCTCCCCTGTTTCCCCATGGTGCAGAGCCCTTGTTCTGCTGCCTCTTGCTAAAATCGCCTTTCAGCGAACCCAAATAAAGCTCCCAAAGTCTGGGGCTCGGCCCCGCCCCAGGAGCAGGGCAGGCAGGGTCAGCTTGGCCAGCGGAGGAGGGAGCATGGCTGGCCGGGGCACAAGCCCTGTGGTACTGGAAAGGCCGTTTCTCCTCCCTCTGCCATGGGCAAAGCCCAGGGGTGCAGAACATGCAGGCATATCCCCTCCCAGCCTGCTGGCACACAGCCCTCTCCCCACGCGTGAGGGGTTGGAGATACAGGATCACTCATGGATGCTGTCCTACAGAAGCATCTCGAGATGTGCCCCAGCGGGCCCTGCCTCGCTGCCCTAATGCTGCCTGCTTCTCTCTCTCCGCAGCTGCCTGTCCTGTGTGAACGGCTCCTTCCCCTGCCACTGGTGCAAGTACCGCCACATCTGCACCCACAACGCCGCCGACTGCTCTTTCCTGGAGGGACGTGTCAAGCTCTCCGAGGTAAGGCGATGCAAGCCAGCTCCCCTCTCTTGTCATCATGACCCTCTGCCCTAGGGGGAAGGGTTTAGAAGAGGGCAAATTGCTTTGGAAACCTTTCCCACCAGTTGCCAGGGATGCTGGGGCTGCCTGGGAAGCAGTGAGGGAGGAGTGGGAAGCGCTGCCGGGACTGCGTGCTGGTGGGGAGAGGATGTGTCGGCTGAGGAGTGTCTCTGTGGAGAGGCTGCTTGGGAAGCCGGGTGCAGCTGAGAGCACTTTAGGCTGAATGAAGGGAAAAACAAAGGCAGAGACGCTAAAGCATTTACCTTTGATGTTTTTGAAGGGAGCAAGCTTGAACTGTCATTGCAGAACAACTTGTTTTCAGAGAGGGGAAGGTTGAAATCCGTAAAACAAACCATTTCACTGCACCTCACGCCTTCTTCATCTCAAATGCTTTGCTGAGAAACATGTTCTTTTGCGGGGGTTTATCCTGCACAGCATCCATGCCACCCACCGGAGAAACCTGTCACTGGCAGGGTGCTCGCAGGAGGTCCCGGCATCCCCAGCTTGTGGTGGCATCGCTGGCTGTTTGGTTTTGGGACTGGAGGCCTGGCCAGCAACCACTGGCCCTACATTAAGTGCTGATTTGGTTCCAGAAGGGAGAGTTTTGGGGAGAAGAGTTTCTCCCCTGCCCCTCTCCTGGAAGGGGGCTCTGGTTGAGCTAACCTGGGTTTCCAGTTGCCTGCGCAGGGGTCCAGTGGGAAGGATCCTGCTGCCTGATGGTTGCTGCTGGGAGCAAAGCCATGTGCTGTCCTCACGGGAATGCCTCAAATGGATGTTGTCCTGGAGAAAGCGTTTGCCCAAATCATCTTGGATAAAGTTTGATCTCTGAGCTCGTATCCCACCAGACTCCTAGGCCAGGACTGGTCCCCAGGAGCAGAGGTGAACAAGAAAGGCTTGTCTCCACTTCACAAACCATGTGTGAAGGCAAGTGGCTGAGATGTCCCTCAAGGCCTTTGCTGTCCTGGCTGGCACTGAGAGGAAGTCTGCATCTGCACCTCCCTGCTTGGGAGGAGCAGGGAATCTCCATGGCCTGTCATTTGTGTCTTCTGAGGTCTGCCTTCATCCTCGGTGAGGATCTGTGTGCTCCTGGGTGTCCTAGATCAGGGCTGTTGTCCTCCCTGTGTTCTGCTTCTGTGCTGGGCCGGGAGCATGTGTAGAGTCAGACGGATCCATCTGCATCCAAGATGCCCCAATTAATTTTTTTCCTCTTCCTCCCATCTGCCTTTCTCATCCCATCCAGATGGGAGAGATGGACTCTTACTCAATGTCAATTATTGCCCAGCCACCAGCAGCACCATTGCTCTTGTGCTGGGGATGGCATGGATGGAGTAGCATCTTCCTGTGCACTGGGGCTGAGCCCTGCACTGCATGGCTTCCGTGCTCCCTTGGGGTGGGTTGACCATGGCTGGATGCTGGGTGCCCACCGTGCCGCTCTGTAGAGTTTTCCTGTGGAAAACCAGAATGCCTGGTCCTGCTGCCTCTCCCAGAGGACCTACTGTGTCTCTGGGGGAACATTTGGGCTTTGCAACCTGCAAAGAGAGCTGCTTGGTTCTCATACTTGGGTGCAGTTTGGAGCTTCGGTGGACTTCAGGAGCAGATGGACTTGCAGAAGATGATGGTGTCCCTGCACAGGGCTGTGCTGGGCTCTCGTTGTGATCCTTATTCTGGGCGTGGAGCTGAGTGATGCTACCTCTCAGCCAAGTGCATCGGGACAGCTGGAAAAGCCCAACCATCGCTCCTGTGTGTGGGCAGGCAGGGTTGGTGCTTGCCATTTCTGCACAGCAACAGGCGAGCGCCAGAAATGAGACTCTGTTCGTCAAACAGCTCCTCCTGCCCCCGCTCTGCCGACAAGCATGCAGCTGCCTGGGCTATGCTATGGCCCTGCCGCCAGTGCTCCATGCCTCTCAGGTGGCACAGTGGTGGCTTTCCACCAAACGGCCAAACTCCGGGCTCTGGCACCATCCCTCACCTCCCTGGAGGTATCATCCAAGTGCCAGGGAGGTTGCACCGTGCTCGTGGATACTTGAGCGTCTGATGATGCATGAGCCAGAACAAGCCCAGCCCAGCAGCCCCACACGAAGGGGCATTCAATAATACAAAAAGATGAGAAAAAGCTGTTTTCTCTCAGCTTGTGTCCTGAAGAAATCCAGCGAGGGATTGGTCTGTCCCAGGCATCCCAGAAGCCTGCTCTTGAGGTCACATTTCCAGCCAGCCCTGGCATTGCTTCTGCAAATGTCGTGTCCAGACCACTGGAGCCTGGCGGCTTTCATCTGCCCGTTCACCTCACTGAGGGCATGGGGGAGGCTGCTGGGCTTCTCCCCCTTCCTTGCCAGGTGAAACCAAAAGCCTCTGGCTCTGCCCCTCAGGGGTGTTATCTCTGGGATGCGTGCAGCTCTCCCGTGGACCAGCTGCTTGGGAACTCGTGTCGCTCCTGAGCACAGGTAGGCTGTTCCCCGGCAGACCTTTTTGGCCACACTGGGACCTGGAGCGGTGCCTGGCTTGAGGTTTGGAGTGCCTGGCTCAGCTTGTTTGCACATCTGTGTGGCCTCAGCAGTTCCCGTCAGGAATGGCGAGGCACCCTCAGACCAGCCGCTGCTGTGGGCTTTGCGTCCCGGCTGGGATGAGACATCCCATCCCCATCTCCAGCTGGTCCCCGTCCCCTCACTGTGGCAGATGAGGGGGACTCAGTGCCAGCCCATGGCACCGCTGGAGAAGCGAATGGTGGACATCCAGCCCCATGCCCTCTGTGGGAGGATGCCTAAGTAGGAGGGTTTTTTTAAGCAGGATTTGGCCTGTCTGTGTTGGTTGGAGTGTGGTGGGCACTGGTCAGGAGAGGCAGGGACAGGGGTTAACAGCAGCGCTCAACTCCGTCTCTGACTCTTCCCACGGGTGGTTCACCACAGTTTCCTGGATGGCAAAGCAGCTGTCTTGTAGGAAAATGCAAAGAGCGACTCACGGCACTCTGCCTCGGGTGTGCTGGGGGTGTTTGCCTGGATTTCTGGCAGGTGGTGGGGCAGGAATGGGCCGTGGGTAGGAGCCACCACTCTTGTGCCTGGGAATAGCAGCAGCAGGAAGGATGTCCCTGCCCACTGGCTGCGGTGGCTTTGAGCCCTGGGCTCTGGAGATTGCCCTCCTCTGTGGCTTGCTCCAGGGTTCAGGGGTGGAGAAGGGGTGATGAAGCAGCCCAGGCTGCTGTTTGCTTGTCCCTGCTTGCGGTGCCCAGCAGTGGCCGTGGGGTGATGGGTGATGGATGCTGGATTCTCCCAACCCAAAAAGCTGCTCTCCTGCGACAGTACCTGCTGCCTGCTGATGCAGAGCTGCCACGGAGGGTGAAGGGGTCCTGGCCTGCAGGGACCAAGCATGTTGATTCAGTCTAAGCAGGTGCAGCTCGTGTTTGTTCTTCATTCCCCCACCAGTGGGAATGGCTGAGGACTTGGTGAGGGGCACCCAAAAGCCAGAGTCAAGCCCAGCAGCAGGCTGCCTTCATCCCCATCTTTGCTGATGGAACGGCCTGCAGCTGGAGCTGGGAGCTGCCAGAGAAACCCAAACCGCAGCATTTGCAGGGTGACTCTAAAGTTCTTACCTCTCCAAGCAAACCTGCACACCCATGACACGTTCTCATCCAGCTAGAAAAACAGTTTTAATGGCGAAACTCTGAGTTGTGCAATGTTTGGGAATGTGCGTGCTGGGGTCTTGCTTTTCTGCTTCTCCCGTCCCTTTGTAGCTCCCTGCTCCTGGGAGCCGTGGCTCTGCCGGGGTGGGCTGTTTTCTGCTGGACAGGGAGCTCCGTGGGCTGTGCAGAGCATTCCCAAGGGTTGTAAGTGGCGGGCAGTGCCAGAGTGAGTTTTGTCAGCAGCTGGAATTGCTTATAGGGGAAATGAGTTGTCCCAGTGCCCCCACCCCTGTGGGCACCCCGGGTGCCCACCAGCACCAGGTGCTTCCTGTTTGGGCACGGGCTGACATTTTTGCTGGATGAGACACTTCTGCTGGCAGATGCGGAGCATGTGACGTCGCAGGGGGACTTGGCTCAAACCACGAGTCAGCAAAACAAGCCCGCCTGCTCGCCCGCTGGCGCAGGGAGAGGGATGCACATGCTCCCCGGGCGCTGGTATTGCGAGCACCCCTGGTGAGCCCAGCTGGGGTGGCATGGACTTACCCACTGCCCTGGCTGGGCTGGCAGCAATAATTACGGAAAAATGAGTGTTGGAGAGTGGGTGGGGAACTAATCCTTGCTGAGTGTGTGTGTGCCCTGTGGGGAAGCTGTGTGCCACCCGCGGGGTCCCCCTGCAATGTGGAGGGGGATCAAACAGGCAGGGAGACGTCTCCATCCGTCAGCACTTCTGAGCTGGTCCTGAGCCGGTGGGGAGTGACTGCCTGGCAGCGGGCATGTGGGGTCTCCCCGCTGTGAGCCCCAAGCTGTTTGTGAAAGGGGGGGCAACTTCATCCCTGCTTTGCAGAGGGGCAGCCGGGATGGGGAGCGGGGCAGTGGCAGAGCAGTGCTGGCCCAGGGGCGCCAGACTGTCCCAGCCCTGTCACTATCTCCCCTTTGGGGCTGGCACCGCTGTTCCTCTCTGCTTTCATTTTGTTCAGCATGTTTTGCACATAAATGGTTCCTTTCCTTAAAAATTGCGCTTTTGGGGAACACAGGCTTGTGAAGAACAGGAAACTTAAAAGTAAAGCAAGCTGGGGTTTTCAGTATTTGCTAAACGAAACAATTTTGTGTTCATTTCTCTGCATTGTTTGAAAGTTAGATTAATCCTGCCAGCTGAGATAAAGCCCAGTGCTGGGCAGGGTCCAGCCCGGCTCACTGCAGGGCAGCGGGGGGCAGTGGGTCAGCATTGGCCACGTGTGGCTCTGGATGGCCTTGGGGCGAGAACTGTCCCCACCCGTGCTGTGGCCCTCAGCAGCCTCGTGAGAGCAGGAGGGCGGGCGCATCCACCCCTGGTGCTGCGGCTGCCGTTCCTGCTTTCGGAGCAGCTTGTTTCAGCACACGTTATTCCCCCTTGACGTTATTTCAAGCTGACGCTTCCAGGAGTTGCTGCCGTAAGTGCGAGACCTCCGCCAGGCTCGGCAAGGCTGGCGTGGGATTACATCAGGCTGTTGTTGCCGAAGTGGCACCCGCCGGGGCCGCGGAGCTGTTTTGCTGCCTGAGCTCATTTATTTTTGCTCCCTCCCTCTCCCCTGTGCTTTGCACACAAGGCTCACCGGCTCCCCTGGAGAGCGGCTGGGAGCCCACAGCTATTAAAAGTCGAGGGCTTTGCCCTCCCAACAGCTCCTTCCCCGGGGAGCATGGGGGGGTGGCAGGGTGGTGCTGAGCCCCTTTTCCTTGCCTTCCTCCCTGGCTTGGACTCACCAGCATCCCCTGGCCAGAGGCGTTGTCTTCTGGTCAGCTTGCAGCCAGGCTGGTTGGGGTGATGCTGCTTCAAGCTGGCCGCAGAGAGAAGCAGCAGCAAAATTGGCTGCAGAGCAGGCTCTCTGCAACGCTGCAGAAGCACATTGCAGTGTTAAAGGGAAAAAAGGCTTTTCTGTCCATTCGTGAAGGAAAGGGGATGGAGGCTGTAAGGGGAACAGGAGGGCTGAGAGGGTAGCCTGACAATGCACAGCCCAGTGGGCGTTAACTCTGAAGCCTACTGACTGCAACGATGACATTAAAGCCCATCTTGTTACCAGTCATTTCACCCAAACATGTGCTGCTGTCGCAGTGCCAGGTTGAAGGTCCCATAGCGGAATCCTCTCCCCACCTCCCACCTGCATCAACCCAGGCTGTGGAAAACACTGCCCTGCTGCCACATTCCTCTGTGCTCTCCTCTTCTGTCTTCAGGGCTTTGGGCAAAGCAGCCATGAGATGCTGGTTTGGGGTTGCCTACATGTAAGGATTTACTCAAGTGTGTGCTCAGGGTGGTATTTTCGCAGCATGTTGCCCAGCCTGCCAGCCAAGGGGATGCTGGGGGAGGCCGCATGGTGTTCCCCTCTCATCGGCTGCCCCTTGTTCCCCTTGCAGGACTGCCCCCAGATCCTACCCTCCACCCAGATCTACATCCCCGTGGGTGTGGTGAAACCCATCACCCTGACGGCCAAGAACCTGCCCCAGCCGCAGTCCGGCCAGCGCAACTACGAGTGCATCTTCCACATCCCCGGCAGCACCACCCGTGTCACCGCCCTGCGCTTCAACAGCACCAGCATCCAGTGCCAGAACACCTCGGTGAGTGCGTGGCTCGCCTCGGCATGTGCTTCATTTGCAGGCTGCTCGTCTCTGCCCTGCCCCAGGACCTTCCCATCTCGTTCATGGCCAGGTTTGCTCTCCCGCGGGCAGGTAATGGGGTTTCTGGTGCTCAAGGGGTGCGGCGTGGGCTCCCCCCTGCTTCCCCCAGGAGCACAGGGAGACTGCTGCCCGTCGTCATTCTGGATAGGATCAATGCCAGAGCCCCCCTGGGGGGAGCTGCCAGGCTTTAGGAGCGCTTCCAAGGAAATTGGCTTTGGAAAGCTGAAGAAAGTTGCCTGGGCTGGAGCCAGCTGGCCCGGACGTGCCGGAGCCTTGCCTCCCCCCCTCCCTCTGCCTGCTCTTGCTTCCCCCTGACACCAAGCCATCCCCCTTTACAGGCGAGATTGAGCTAACACCTTCTCCATGTCCTGTTGCTCACACCGTGCCTGCCAGCCCCAAGAGCGCTTCCCTCCTCCCCTGCAGCCCTTGCCTGTGCCCGGCTCCGGCCGGCAGCTACCTCATCCCCCTGCCTGCCCTCCGTCCCAGCCCTGCTGCTGCATCACTCCCTGCCTCTCTGTCCTTGCTCCCGGCAATTTTGTCACTTAAGCTCTCTCCTGCAGGCAGCTCTGCCTGCTCTGCCCTTGCTGGTTGCCTTATCCCTAAGCGAGGGGGTGTTTTGTGGCCCCTCAGTGAGCTGTGTGCGTGCCCCTTGCTGTGCAGCAATCCTGTGCGGAGAGCACCAAGCCTATGAGCAAACCCACCCGGGGTGTTAATAGGCCCCCCAGGAGCCGACGTTGCTCAGCTCCTCGGCTGCCCTGCTGGGCTCTGCACTGACCTGCTCTCATCTGCATGGAGCCGGCTCTTCCCTTTTCCCTCTTATTTAATCCTTTTAAAATTTGTTTTCCATCACTCACACTGTGAAAGCTCATTTCCAGCCTAACACCAGCTCCGATCCCTGCTCCCTTTTCCTTTGGTGGCACGAGTGACATTTAGAGGCTGTTGAAGATGAGCCCTGGCTCCCTCCCTCCTCCTGTGCTCCCGGAGCTGTGGAGCCTTTGGGCAGGGGGAGCATCCTGAATTGCTGCCTCCTGCCCTGGGCGGCAGTGCTGGGGAGATGCCGTGCTGCCGGGGCTCTTTCTTGGTGACACACAGTTTGCAAGGAGCAGAAATGCTCCCTGTGCTGAGCTGGTGGCTGGAAGTGTTGGTGGTGGGTCTGTGCTTGGCCTGGAGGTGAATGCAGGCAGCGGCACAAAGTGCAGGCTCCTGGGAGGCGCAGGACCAGAGCAGTGCCTGCAGGGCTCTGCTGCAAGAAGCCATTAGTGAGGCAGCTTAAGCAAAGGTTTGTCGTCTTGCTGCTGCGTTCGGGGAAGAAAAGAAGCCAGGTGGAGCGCTGCCCAGAGGAGCTGGCGTGGCTGCTGTCCCTGGTGTTGATCATGACCTTCACCAGGGCTTTACCACCTGGATCTGACCCAGGCTTGCCGGTCACCTGCATGGCTCAGTGTTAGTGCTTTGAGGGGAGTATGATGGATGTGCGTGCAAAGAGACATCTCCCTTTGCTGAGGTCTCATTGCTGCTGGCAGCCAAGCTTGGCTGCTGTGTCTCCATTGCAGCCACATGGGAGGTTTCTTGGGGGTCAGCTGAGGAACCCTTGTCCCAGCAGGAGGCTGGTTACACCAGGTACCTGCTTGGTTGTCTGAGGGCTGTCCTGCAATGTGCCTGTGCCTGGCCCCACTGCTGAAGCACGTGTGGCTAGAAATGGGCTGGAGAAACCATTGCCCTGTTGCAAAGGGTGGAAGAAATTGTCTCAAAGAAAGAGCACAGCCTATGGGGACCCTGGCTGGGTGCAGGAGCTGTGTGAGTGCCCGGGAGCCAAAACCACTTCTGCCTGGGGCGTGGGAAGTCTCGTGGGGCCCTGCCCTTGCCTGGCCAGAGCCCCTTGGCCAGCCCAGCCTCCTGCCAGGTCTCCTCTGCCTGCAGCTGGCGGAGCCGGCAGCTCCCTTTTGCCCGATTCTTTAGCATGCAGTTTGGCTTAGCTCATTCAAAAGCAGTTTGGGACGGTGTGTGCTGCAGGATGCTCCCTACAGAGAAGCAGCATGGCTGCATGGTGCTGGCAGTGGTAGTCCGATGGCTCCTGCGGGGTCCTGGGGGAGAGGTGCCTGTGCCAGAGTGGAGCCTTTACCTTACTCTCTTTGGAGAGGGGATCTGAATCATTTGGACTCCTTTCTCCCATTAAGATTCAAGCCGGGCAGGAGGGAGAGGCAGAAGCAAAAACCACTGCCTGTGTTTCCCAAGGGGTGCTGTGGCTGCCAGCACTGGTATCACAAGTTGCATGGCCTCTGCAGCTCTTCTGCAAAGGGATGGGACAGCTTGAGGTGTGCCTGCTCACCGTATGGTCCCCATGCAGAAGTGGCTGACACCTTCTCCTGGGCTGATAGTGGTGGATATTTGACCTGAAAATTGCCAGGGATGCCTGGAAAGCAAGGCAAATCAGCTGGAGAGCGCGCGGGGGGTGTTGCGGGCTGTGTGGGTGTGGGAGCAGGCGGCAGCAGCTCCCTGGGGCTGCAGTCTCGGGCGGGAGACTTGGCTTTCAGGGGCAGCGTGACTTCACAGAAGGAAGGAGAGAGTTTTGGCTTGAAAGAAGCTGTCTTGCTTTCAGGGTCTGCTCACCTGCTTTAATGTTTGAGGGCATTTAGCCAGGCTGCTTTATGGCACGGGGGATTCAGATTCACGCTCCTGTGATGCTTGCCTCCTCCCCGTCTTTTTTTGCAGTCCATCTGGCTGGTCGATAGCACTTCAGGCTCCCACGCAGTCACCCACCCATGACCCGCTGGGTTCTGCCGTTGTGATTCATCCTTTGGGTTAGGATTTTGGGTCTTGCCTGGTGTGGAGGGCACTGGTGAGTGGAAAAATAAGGAAAGGATGACATCCTCCCAGCCAGCAAGTGAGGAATGCATGTCCTCGCCTCGGGAAGGCATTTAAGCACACTTTGTTTCCAGGAGTTCAATGTGATCTAAACAAGAGGTTAATTACTCTGTGGAATTAGGGATGCTTTCCTGAATGGAGGGTGAATGGAAGGGATAATAAGTCAAGCCCGCTTAAAACTCTTTGTCTTTTGTTTATTTTTAGTGCTTGTCAAACTCCAATGACTTGTTACCACTTTGAAGAAAAGGCATCTCGGTTAAATATTCAGCAGTCCATTCATTAAGGTTTGAGTGTCGACTATAAACATAATTTGAGACACCCAATAGATCTTCAGCAAACTCAAGGGAGACCAGGCCTGGTGTTCCCCACGCATCCCAGGGCAAAAAGCAAGCAGAGAGAACGCTTTTCTGCCTCCTCGCTTCGGTCTCTTTCTGCTCTTCAAAGGGAAAGCAACCCTAAAGGTTTTCCACATGCATTCTAAAGCAGCAAGAAGGAAAGACAAGCCTAACTAAGAAAACAAATTCTATGCCAGTAAACTAGTTTTTTGCTAATTGGTTACTTTAAATCTTCTGGAGGCAGACATTTCCAGGCTTACTCCTTGCAGCGGAGGACGGAGAAGTGGTCACCTGTCTCTTAATGTGTGTGGACAACACTACTGAGTGTCATTTTCCAGGTGTCCCTGCCTTCGCCCATTCTTTCCCATCTGCTATCCCTAAATGGGGCTTATCCTTCCAATTGCTGCAAAAAATAAACACTTTTGCTGTTGGAAAGTACCACAGTCCCGAATCTGCACTACTGCTTGAATACTAGACTTCATCCGATTTAGTCCTGGCCTTGGCAAAATGACTACAGGTATTTCTCACTGCCAAGGGTTTGGCCTTTTCTCTCCAGAATGTTCCTATTAAGGCTGAAATAGCCCCAGAGCTTTTTTAAATGTAAAAATAGGAAGAACCCCTGATCTCCTTTCACGAGCATTTGAGTTTGTCATCTCAGCACTTTAAATTAAGCCTCACGCCTCAATTATTTCCCTTTCCTTTTAATCAAAGCCCCGCGTGGTGAGGAGCAGCTGTGTCACCTCCCTGGTTCCCTTTTGGCTCCTTCCTTGCCAATCCCCCTGTCACGGGCAGCCCAAGCTGCCTGCCTGTTTCAGTTGTGGCTCTGGAGGTTGCTCCCCTCTGGCCAGGCTTGGGTTGGGATCTTCATCCAGGAGCGGCTTATTCCCATGGCAAAGCGACATGGGTGCAGAGTGAGCTGGGCTGGCAGGGTGGGCACGTGAGTGGTACCCAGCGCGGATGCTGAGGCCAGGGTGCCCACCCCCAGGTGTGGATGCTGGGAAGGCAGGCAAGACCTGGTAGATTTACGTTTTCTGGGTATTTTTTTATTGCAACGGAGCCTAGGTGTTGCTCTGACATATTCCCAGGGTCTTGGGTTCTCACAGCCTGCCAAATTTCAGGCAGGATGAATCCAGGCAAAGAAGCTTGTGCGTGATGGGGGAGGAAAGGAGGAGATTTATGTGAAAAGAGCAAAAGGAGATCCAGAATCAGAGGCTAAGCGTTACCATCAAGTTGTGCTGTTGTGTGGATGACGGTATTTTACTGGGCCTAGGGTGTATTTATAGAGGAACATAAATCATACACACATGCCCTGTTCCGAGTGCCGTGTACCTCCAGTATATGTATCTCTAATTAACCAGCCATGGAGAGGGAAACAGGATTGGAGACCACAACCCCAGCACCGTTCACCAACAAAGCCGTGCTCTCCGTCCTAGCGGTGCCTACATTTATCTTTCCTGCAGCAGTGTTTAAAGTGAAAAGGGAGTATCAGGAGAGTTTGATAGGATCCAATTAAATTCCAGCAGATAAAATAATGATGAATTGCAGTTGAGCCCTGGCGAGACGCGATGTACATTACTGCCGTCCCCGTAGTGCGGGGAAGGAGTTGAGGTCATCAACTACAGAAAAATAGGACACAGCTGCAGCCCAAGCGCTCCTCCAGAAATGCAGCCCAGGGGGATGGTGCATGTGAGAGGGAGGGGGGTTGCAACGGAAATTTGGATGTGTGGGCTTGTTCACAGCGGGCGGAGGAGCAGCCCCTCTGCTGCCTTCCTTGAGGAGCGGGATCCCTCCATGCCTTCACCTGCTGGCTTAATGTGGTTGTGGCTGGAGTGTGATTGATGCCCTGCAGCAAGGGGTGTGATGACTGTGGGGCCGCCCTGCCTCATCTGGGCAGGGAAGGGCTAGTGCCTTTGGCTAGTTGGCACGGTGCTTGCAGGAGCATTCCGAAGCGCTTCTCAGTGCAATCCGCCCCCAGATTTGGGGTGGCCCCTCGCTGACTGCAGCTCTGTCCCCTGGGATTGCGGCTCCCTGCAGGCACTGCCCTGGAGTGCTGAATCCCTCGCCCCAAGGGGAGCTGGGCGGCTCTCGGTGCCCATCGCTGCCTGCGGGCCAGTGAGCAGTGGGCTTGCTAGAACCAAATGTGAGATCTTCAGGGGAGGGGGCACCCCCAGCCCTTGCAGTGTGCCAGGCCGGTGGGCGTCCCCCCATGGGGGCATGGGGTGGGTGTGAGAATCAGAGCCCTGAGAAGCACACGAGGTTGTTGGCTGTTGCTTGGGAAGATGTCTGAGATCAGTTTTGGGTGAAGAGCCTTGAGAAAGGCTTGGCGAGGAGTCCTCTTGCCTGAACCACATCCCTGCAGAAGATGACCTTGCTGGGAATAGCTGCATCCAGGTCGGTGAGGCTGGCACGTCCTCCGTCGGTCCTTCCACGCTGACCTTGTAGGCTCTTCCAGAGAGGGACAGAAAGGCTGGCTGGGTTAGGTAAGGTGCCAAGAAGCTCACGTCTCTGTTGCTGACTCACTTGATGATGTCTTTTCTCCCGTCCCCTTCTGTGGGCCATGCTGCGCGAGCACCCTTGTCTCCTCTGGGTGCCGTTGGTTTGCTCTCGGGGCTGTGCTTATTGTTTTTTGCTCCCAGAGCAAACATCCCTTTCCCATAACTTGTCCTTGCAGCAGCCGCTGTGCTGCATCATCCTTCGGCACAGCCGGGGGGTCCCGAGAGCCTTTGCAAAGCCCAAAGGTGGTCTCCTAGCAGGGAGACTCTCTCACAGCCACCCTGGCCTCCTGTCCCCTCCCATGGCTCATCCCAGATCGCTGCCAGCCACAGCAATTGATTAACTGGGAAGTTAATAACAGTTAAGTGTTTAATGGATGTTTAGCACTGTGTTAGCCAGAAGCGGGGAGGAGCCAGTGTGATGGGACCTGCTGGCTGCCTGTGGGCTCTTGCCTGGATCCCGTGGGATGTACAGACTTGTGAGTACCCCCCCTGCCTGATCTGCGCCAGTTGTTGGGGCTTTCAGGGCTGGAAAGCAGCTGCTGCTTTGCTTTTGCTGCCTCCCTGGCTGTGGCTGTGCCCGTGGGTGGAGAGGGCACCTTCCTGCCCACGTTACAGCAAGAGCAGCTGCAGGGAGGTCTTTAGAAAATGTCCTTCAAAATAAGAGGTGCTTTGGAAATTAGAGAGGGATCTGAGGGATCTTGGCGTCCCAGGAGGCTGAGCCCTGAGCCCCTGCAGCTCCTGCCTGCATGCAGCCAAGCTGCTGCTTCAGCTCTGGCATCCTACAGGGACCAGTAATGGCATCTAAGCTGCAGGCCTGCTGCCCATCTCTGTAGAGCAGGTGAGACCCTGCTGATGGACACACTGAGGACACATTTTTCACTGTTAACCCGCATTCCCTTGGTGATCCCACACCACGAACGCCAGCCAGGACCAAAACTCCCGCTCCTACCTGCTGCTTCCCTCCACACTCCGGGCGGCCGAAGCAGTGACCCGCCATCTGCTCCAGCTCCATGCCGTGGCAAATTCAGCATCCTGAGCATGGTGGGGGAAGTCCTGTACTTTCCCAGAGGGATGGGACACCCTCTCTTGTGCATGTGCTGTCTCAGGGCTGGTGCACGAAGAGTTAATGCTCTCCCTCCCTCTCCCCCTATTCTTCTTCCTCCAACACACCTCCCAGAAGAACTAATTTCCAAAAGCAGCCGGGGCAGAGAGATGCAAATAAGTGTTTTGGACAGCTGCAGGCTGGATGCCTTCCCGAGATGCCAGGGCCCCAAATGAGACATGTCAGAGTACAAATTGAAAATGCCAATTTCACTTACGCTGCCACGTGGCTCGTCACAGCTAAATTCTGCTCCGGTGCCGCCGCCCTCCCTCCTGCTGCCGGGGGATGGTCTCTGCCTGCTGCTGTGGGTCCAGCCAGCTCCTCAGCGTGGTCCTGTCGGGGATGTCCTCGGGGGGGGAGGGAAAGGTGACCAGATCTGGACTCCCAGCCTGGTTTTGGCTTCATCCTCCCAGGTCTGGTGGTAGGGATGTTGCTGAGTGAGGCCCTGGTTGTAGATGATGCGTGGTGGAGATGTGGCTGAAGGTCCCCTGAGCAAACACTGCAAGAGGTGCCGTGTCTGAGAGGCTGCATGGTGCGGGGTGATGGGGCTCTTCCTATAGAGGGGAGATGGTAGTGGAACTACTGGGTGCTCAAGAAAGGGTTGAGCTTGCAACTGGATGTCTCATGCCTTACAACTGCTGCATGCGGTTGATCAGCAGCAGCCTTCCTCCCCAGGCAGAGCTGTGTTTTGGGGTTTTCCAGCCTGCGTTTGGGTGGGGTAGCCCCTGGACATAGGACCACTAGCCAAAAGCTGTGGAGGTGTAACCGAGGACGAGGCTTGGCCTCTCATTTGCACCTTGTAGGGTTGATGGAGGGGTGTGTTGCCATAGCCATGTCTCACATCGGGTTCCTGCCCTGTTTTGGTGCCATGTCTGATGGTCTGACTGTACCTGGTGATGCTGCCCGGTTGGGAGAGACTCAGCACAGGAGGGGCCAGCTTTGATGGTGAGGCAAGAAGGACATCTCTTGCTTCTGGCAGCCACCTGGGCATGTTGGCTTCTCCTGTGGGCCATGTCCCTGCCCCCTGTGGAGGGGGTCGAGCAGAGCCGGCCCACTTGGAGTGGTCCCTGGCGCTGGTAGGGACAAATGTGCTGTGTGGGGCAGCAGCTGGGGCAGTGCTGGAGGAGGTGCTGAGGCCAACTGCCCCAGGTATGGCAGTGGGGCTGTGAAAGCTGATGCTCGGGCTGGCTGGAGGTGGTGGCGGGGCTGTGGCCAGCCCGTGGCCGGGTGAGCCGCTCTGGGCGCGTCCGCCGCTCCCTAACAAACTCCAGCAACCCATGAATCATTCATTTAATCTCTCCTGACACGCCTGTCATTTTCTCGGGCGAGGAGCGGGGAATCTCTTGCTGAAGGAGGTCATTAGCTGTCAGGGATGGTTCCGACTGCCTTCCTGCCTCCGTATCGATTAAACCTCTCTGCCTGTGTGCAGGGGCTGTGCAGGGAATATTGATGGGGCTGCCGGGGCTGGGGCTTGGGTTTCAAGGCAGGGGAGGGGGATTTGGCTGGGGAGGAGGTGCTGGCTGGGCTGGAAGGGGCAACGTCTGTGGGTACGTCTGGGACAGCAGTGGGTGCTGAATGTTTGGGGTACCCTGGAGCGGGGGTGTGTGGGGGGATCCCCCCCATATCACCTTCCTACCTGGGAGCTGGGGGGATTGGGGTGGTGATGCCAGTTCTGGAGAGTGGTACAGCCAATGGCCAAGCACGGCATGGGGCTGGGAGTGGGGTGGCTGGGGTGCAGTGCGGAGGCGCCACTGGGCAGGGGGATACTCTCTCAAGACCTTTCTGAGGGCTGGCATGGCACCAGGCTGGCACCTGGCTCTGTCCCACCTGGGCGACATGGCCATGGCTTCATGGCATTCTGTTGTGGGTGATGGGGCTGGAGGAGACCAGAGAGGACATCCTCACAATGGGTGTTGGGGGTGGCTCTACCAAATCTGCTCCTGTCATGTGCCCAGCCTGTCCTCCTTGAGCTTCACTAGTGATGAGCGTGATCCCAAACGTGATCCCAAACTTCTGCTTGAGCGTTCCTGGAGCGGGAAGGACATGGGGGAAGGCTTGGGTGCCTGGTGGGGAGAGGTATGTGTGTGCTGCGGAGACATCCTCTGTTTCCTCCTTTCCCAGCAGCAGCAACTTCAGACCTTTGGGTTAATGGGGCTTGGATCTATTTAGAAACCCTCTATTTTGCTTACTTATCTTTTTTTTGCCAGTCCAGCCTACTGGTTTGCATGTGTTGTGTCTGATGCTTTGACCAGTGGCTGTTAGACCTGTCTGTTCCTAGCTGGCGAGTCTGAACCAGGCCCCCATCCCTCTCCTCTGGGCTGGTAGGAAACATCCACGTCACGGGGTTGTATGGCTCTCCGTGTCCCTCACCGGGGCGTTCTGCCTCGGATTAATGGGCTCTGCCTCCTTCTGTCCCCTCCTACAGTATTTCTACGAAGGAAACGACATCAGCGACCTGCCGGTCAACTTGTCCGTGGTCTGGAACGGGAACTTCGTCATTGACAACCCCCAGAACATCCAGGGTGAGTGAGGGATGGGAGGTGGGTGGGAAAGCAGCCTGGTGCCCCCTGCAGCCCCCAGCTCACCCCTCTCCCCAGCCCTGACCACAGTTTGTGCTGGTGCCTTGGCAGAGGGAGCAATGCTCTGGCTGTATTGATCAGATGGGTTTCTAAACTAGAGGCTTTTCTCCAAGCAGCTTTGGGAGAAAGTCCAAAGCTCTGCCTTGGTGTTGAGTGCAGGGTGCTGGTGCCTCCTGCCCATGGGGTTTTGTCCCCCTGGGAGCTGGTGGCTTGCATGCAGCGGGAGCGGGCAAGAGCAGGTGCCCTTCTCCCAAAACCGCTGTGCCTGTGGGATGGGGGGCCATGCTGATCCTCACGCTCCTTCTGCCATTGCAGCCCACCTGTACAAGTGCTCGGCCCTGCGGGAGAGCTGTGGTCTGTGCCTGAAGGCTGACCCGCGCTTCGAGTGTGGCTGGTGCATGCTGGAGAGGCGCTGCTCGCTGCGGCAGCACTGCCTGGCCTACGAGAGCAGCTGGATGCACGCCAGCAGTGGCAACAGCCGCTGCACCGACCCCAAGATCACCAAGGTACGCAGGGACAGACGGGCGGTGATGCCCCGTGGCGGGGACAGGGATGGAAGGTGGGGATGGGAACGGGGCTCTCTGGTGGCACCTCACAGCAGCCAAGTCTATTCGGTGTTTAGGACTGAGCATCTCCTGTTGCCACTTTCATTTCCAAGGCTAAAATCCTCTCTCCCCCACCCCCATGCACTGGGCTTTCTGGCCTGTCTCCAAGATTCCCATTGCTCCTCCTGCACACAGCCGGAGGATCCTGGGAAAACTGCAGCTCTGTGTTGCTCCTCCTCTTGTCACCATGCATGCCGGTAGTTCATCATTCCCCTTCCCTGTCAGCTTTTATGACCTTCGTTTAATAAGATTGCGTATATTAATGTTCACACTCCTGTTGGGCTGGGCTCCAAGTGTGCGAGGAGGCACTGGTGGGTATTTCTGCTGGATACCTTCTGTTTACTTGTGGCTGGCTGTGCCTCTCTGCTGTTAATTACTGGAGTCTTAGTGCAGGATCTGATATGTTTGGGTTTTGGTGTCTTATCTGATGGAAGCTGGAAATGAGAGTTGTGCCTTCCCCAGCATCGTCGCCTGCCTCTCACAGGCGTGTGCAGGGTGGCAGCCTCACAGGGAGAGGGGGGTACCCCCTCCTGTGGGCACATCCCTGCCTGCAAGAAGTACTGCCTGCAGAGAGTTGCCTGGGGCTGGTGAAGAGCTGGCAGGAGAAGGGGTCCATTCCCCAGGGGCCGCAGGGTCAAGCCCTAGAGCATGCATCCCTGTGAAGAGGTCTGCTGTTGTGTGTGGGCCTGCAGGGCTCCCCATCCCCGATGGCTTCCCACCATGCTCAGGCTGAACTTCCCAAAGCTGCACCCCTGGGGATGGTGGGAGTGGAGACTGTGGTGGCTGCGTCATGGCTGGAGTGGCCTCGCCAAAGGCTGTGCTCTGTCCTCTTGTGCTTCCATGGCCAGGGCTGCAGGCATCCACGTGCACACCGCTCACAGCAGCCTCCCAGCGGCTGGGGGTGTGCCCCCTCGGGTGCAGCACTCCCGCCCCCGAAT